CATAAAAGAAAGCCCTCTTAACTATTCGCTTAAAGGGAAGCTACGGAGCTTCTTGGAAAAAATGAGTTAGAAGTGAATTCTAGTGTATTTTTACCCCGTGAACCCGAATACCCAAACCATTTGCTGCGTAAGTATTGGTAAACGCGAGAAAAACGTGAAAGACAGTCGCTGTCCGTGACGTCATCGACGGCTCTTCTGGCTGCCCAAGGCTAGGGAGGCGGGGCTTCAGTGCTATTTTGAAATTGCTCGTATGGCTCTACGGCGCGTCGCATTGAAATACAATTTTGATATCTGTTAATCTAAAGGCCAAATGAACGCAATTCAAGCGTTATTTCTCAAATGTAGAAGTGCCCCATCTTCCCTTTAATGCAGGCACATAAAAATCAGGTCCCTCAAGACATAGGCTAGTACTGTATCCAAACCGGTATATTCAGCTTTAAAAACTTTTCGTGCTGGTTTAGCGACAGGCAAGTGAACCAGGTCAACTGCAGATAAATCAATGCACTATTACAACTTTCACTCGGATAGGTGTCACATAAGCAGACTTGCCAAGCTACAATGATGAAAATACTACAGGGGATGCCAAAAAACACTACTATTGTGTGAAGGAATACGAAAACTGATTTATACTTCAAAAACTTGGTTTAGTTAAGAAAAATGCCTCAACTAGGGCACAAACACATCATACATTGCACGAAATGTCTTATTCTTTAGAAGTAGAAGGTTGGGTCAACACTGAGGAAGTTTCAGCATATGCTTCTCTTAGGAAGTTGTTGTCGAACACTTGTTCATGGCACTTTCCAGACTGGCTGCATCTCACAACTAAGAACTGTTCAAGAGTCTTTTTCGACATAGAGGAGCGGAACTGCGTGTGTGCCTCCTTCACTTTGCTGAAAACTCTTTCTCCTGTGCCTGGTTTAACGAAGACGTTAAAGAGCAAAGTTCTTGCTCTTTAACGTCTCCACAACCGCTGTAAACGGCACGTTGTGTTCAATCAAAAATGTCGTAAATGGCATTCTGCTCGGGTAGTGTCGTAATCCGTTGATCGACTAAAGTACCCTCCAAGCTTCTCGTTGGTTTCATCTACATTTGCAGAGCCCTTGTGTTTTTTTCTATTCAGATGACAGAATGTCCCGGCGACCAGCGTGCGAAATGTTGACATCGCAGCGACAGACTACAAAATGTGAACATTTCGCCCTTGCGCGACGTCTTCAGAAATGGAAAGTCGGATAAATAGCTGGGAATAAACACTTGCAAGTATTTTTTTCCCGCCATCTTGTAGCAAAGATGGTTTCAAGGGATCATGAGTAAAAGTTCCAGTAACACAACGTACAACGTTCGCCACAACAAAGGAGATTTCTAGTTTTGGATTCAGATGGATGGATGGATGTTAGACGCTCAGCTCAGTAGCGGCTATACCACCCCTTACATCACTGGAGCGGTAGCCTGCGCCCCCTGGCATACAAGTCATTATCCAGTGTTGCCAACCCCAACTTGTAAACAAGTGAGATGCAGCTTAAACAAAATTATCTTTTTCTTTACAGGGGGGTGCGGAAAATTATACAAATATTGTTGTTAATACGATAACCTCAAGAAAGCGCTGGAAAGCAGACACTTTACGATAAAATCGTAAAACTTGGCAGGTATGCATAAGCATAACAGAACAAATGACATGTAGCTTAAATTTTCTTTACGGTCAAGGTGGTTCGAAAAAGGCATGAATTGAACCGTAGCAACTAAACAGAGTTGGCGACACATTAGAAATGAGTAAACACAATACAACTATCCTCCTAATTTAGAAAAACAACTGCATCTCAATGTTGTGAAAATGTTGATTGGGGCGAAGCTCTGGTGGTGCTTGTCTGCGTAGACACTGAGCCGCAGGATGCCGAGCCTTTCATTCGTTTTCATCCATGTCACGCTGCGGTCAAATGCTCAAATGTGCATATAACCACATTCCATACCACCCATTCTCTTTCTGACATGGATGAAAATGAACGAAAGGCTCGGCATGCTGCGGCTCAGCGTCTACGCAGACAAGCACCACCAGAGCTTCGCCCCAATCAACATCATTCACCACGTAAAGATGCGCTTTTTTTTGTTTTTTTTTGCCTTACACAACCTTAGGAACACGTGCTCACGTGCTCGTGAGCACATGAACTCACGAGCGAAGCACGAGCACCCGACGCCAAACATGGCTAGCCCCTAAGGAGCTTCGCCCCTAACAAAAAAAAAATAAAAGCCGCTTACAGCTCCCTGTAATGCTGAATTAGAGTGCAGCTCTTGAGGAGGAGGGGAGGGTACTAAGGGTGACATTTTCTTTTTTTTCTTTTTTTTTTGGGGGGGGGGGGGTTACGTGACCAGGGGGAGGGGTCACGTGACCCCCACCCCCGCCCCATCTTGAGGTCACGTGACCCCCAAGGTCACGTGATCCCCCTCCCCGAGGTCATGTGGGGGTCACGCGGCCTTCCAGAGAAATTTTTTCTGTAGATTTAGCGGGAAAACTTTTCCGCTAGATTTAGCGAGGAGATTTTTCTGCTAGATTTAGCGGGGAAATTTTTCAGCTACATTTAGCGAGGAAATTTTTCCGCTAGATTTAGCGGAGAAATTTTTCCGCTAGATTTAGCGGGAAAACTTTTCCGCTAGATTTAGCGAGGAGATTTTTCCGCTAGATTTAGCGGGGAAATTTTTCAGCTAGATTTAGCGAGGAAATTTTTCCGCTAGATTTAGCGGGGAAATTTTTCCGCTGGATTTAACAGGGAAATTTTTCCGCTAGATTTAGTGGGGAAATTTTTCCGCTAGATTTAGCGGGAAAATTTTCCCAAAATGCAACGCGCGGTTATGGCGACGGGGACGCCGCTCACGCCAGAAACGGGCGCCTAAGAGCTGCGCTCTAAAAGAATCATCATCAACAATTAGAATTTCCTGCTTACCCTCATCAGCATCCGCATCAACTGCAGGATGACTTGCCTGTGCCGAGTGACCTGCTCCATACATCAATATGTCACCATACTCTTACAAAAAATAAAATTTCTTGGCTAGATTCCCGATTGCTACTAATTAGTGGTCGTCCGAAACAATACCCCTAGTTTTTTGCCCTTCCTTACTGTCGGTTCATTCCTTTCAATATGCCAGTAGGGATCTCACTTGGTCGACATTGCGTTTCCTGAGGGAATAACTTTCTTTTAGGCGATGTGAGGCCGTTAGGCATCAAGTTTCAAAGTGAGGAGAGCCGACACTGGTACAAAGGGTGAAAGAAGCCAGCTATGCAGTGACAGCGTTTATGATTATCACACCATATCCACTGTTGTGTGCGTTACAGCCAAAAAGAAGGACAAGTGGAAGCGACCGCGGCAAACCGCGGTACCTCTTTAGCTGTAGACAGTGACAATATATGTGAGGCAATTGCGAGTCAAAAATGTGCATGTGTAGAAAGAAGCCTATGCGAAAATCACATTCTAAACCAACAAATGCCTTCCATGATCGCAAAGTTTCTCAACTCTCGTGTAAGGTGGCGTGTAGTGCGGTGAAGAGGCGCTAAGAAACAATGCCAGGTTGCAACAAAGGCAACTCATCTTCAACATTTTTTTTTTCTTGCTTTAGAAAAAAGATTATTTTGAATAAACTTTCAGAAATTAAAGACAAACTCTTCTTCCAATGTCGGTATCTTTCACATTTGTACTCTGACAACGTCATAATAAAATAAATGCATGTTTAGGCAAAAAAAAAAAAGAAAGACTTTTTCACAACTTTAGAATATTTTTTTTTTCCCATGAGGTATTTCGTTATGCGGCTTCAAACATTTTTTTTTTTATTTGTAAAATGTCTACAGGGCTTTCAATAGCAAAAAAAACTTATAAATACCAGGTGCAGAGCGATAATTAAACAAAAAAGATTAAGAAAATTGCAAAAAAAAAGGTTTTTGATGAGGTTTCTAAAACTATTTTAACAATTAAAGTTGCATAAACATCACAACATAGCAAGGTAAAAGCCATTCGAATTTCATAAAATAAAATCCGAGGCATTTTGAAAAAAATTAGACTTTCACTCCTTTATTGAATGCCTAGTTGTATGCCCATTTAAGAAATAAAGACACGCTCACGCCGTAAAAAAAATGTTTTCGGCAAAAATATTTTAGGGAACATATAAATAAGGAAACAACATAAAAGGTCTTTTCTGTTTTTCCTTTAATTATATTTTACCCCTACCAGCACGCTCTTCATTCCAAGTATTTTAGGAAAAGGTTACGGACTTTGGGGTAAAGAGCCATGAATTTTCTTTTTAAAATGGGAAATGGTCAAGCGTAACGTCTGGGATGTTTGGCGTGGAATGAGCCCCATGCCAACAGTTGCCTAAGCGGCAAGATTGAAGAAAGAAAAGATTGGGCGGTAAGTAAGAAAAAAAGGAGGGAATAAGTCAGAAGGAAGTGACCTAGAAGACAGGAAAGTGGGCAGACAAATGACTTCAGACCTAGGTGGGCTGTAGTTGTGGAGAGAGATGTACTATTCGAGGTGAGAATTGCAGAGAGAAAATGTCTATTTCTAACGGAATGACTAGTGGCATAAGGTGTGCAGATAATTAAGGCTTTTAACATGTGTAGTTTTCCTGGAAACATAGAAGCCCCGTTTCTTAGCTTGTTAGACCCTGTAATTGCATGTCTCTGTCAACAACCACAACACACCTCTTTGTGGTCTAGGGTTAAATCTCAGCACTCAGTTTCCCATCTTCTAGGTCATTTTTCTCCTTCTCACTTTTGGTCAGCTACCTCATTTTTCTCTCCCACTTTACTGAGCCCACCGCTGCAACCGTCGTGGTTCTTGAGGACCTTCAATAAATGCTCATGCTGCCAGTTCATCAATGTCTCTATTTCCCTTTCTCCTTAAAGCATGTGTATGGTATCATCATGATAAATGAACATGGCAGCTTTGCTGACCTAAAATTATGGCTTGTTAATTGTAAAGACGCATAAATGTAGGTTTGGTAAAACTGAAAGTAAATACCCATCATATCTGTAGCCAGGCATTCCGAGCGAGGTGGTCACGGGCAATGTCCATCAGCCTCTGTGATAGGCAACGTCCAATTACTTTCTGACAAGCAAGTACTTCCTCCTTTGAAAGTTCTTTTCCCTCAGGTGTGTGCCATTGTTGTTCCAGGTAGAAGTTGAGAAACCTAAAAAATTTAAAGCAGTCCTATAACGTGAGCAAATAAATGCTGTCATATTTGACTGTCACTATCTTAGATCACTTTGTCATTGCAGTAGGTTCCTAAAACTAGATACAATTTGTTTTATAACTAAAAGCACTGGGCAAACCATTGCAAATCCTTTTGATTTCAGGGTTGTTTGTGCAATTAATAGTGGATTTGGACAACATAAACAAAAATATTGAGAACACAATAAATTCCTATGATTGGTCAAACCTGACAACCCCAGAAATAGTTGAAAGCTAGATAATAAGGCTTCAACTGGTATGGGCTGCGATGGAGATCCAAGACTAAGGAAAAGGAGAAACAGCTCCCCCATGTGTCTAGTTTTCCACTGCCTAGAGCTGCAACATGAAATTAAATGCCTCCATATTAAATCAGAGAAATTTAATAATGTTGCTATCAGCTCTAAATCTCTGGGATCCATTGGAAAATTTTATTCATTTTGATCAAAAATTCATCTTTTTTTTTTTTTTTGTTATCCTACGTTTATTTTGAAAGAGGGAAGGGGAACAAAAGCTTTGCTGCGTGGTCATTTTGAGTGCCAAGAGCTATTTGTTCTGTGCACAATGAATCTCAAAATGCACAAAATTTCTAAAATTTCAAGTATGACTATCTATTGCAAGTGACAGCCAGCACATGTACACTCCAACAACTGAACAATGACTATGAGATGCTGGCAATGGCAGCAGCTTGCACAGTTCATTTGTCGTTATTTGCATTTGTGAGGCTAGCTACGTATCATAGCTATCAAAGGCTACATACAGGCCTTTGGTAGCTATGAGAGCACAGAGCATAATTCTCCCAGCTGTCCGAATTTAAAGGCACTTATGGTAGCTGCATTATTCACAATGAGAGAAATCAACAATTTACGAACATCAGAAGCAACAAATGGCAATAAAAATTTTGTGTTACAAGCGATTTAAAGGGAAAGCATATGTACTAAAGGACTGAACACTCATTGAGGAAATAATGAGATATCTGGAATTTCCAGTTTGCTACAATGGAAAGGTGCTTTACAATGCAATATGTGTGCACTGCTGATGCCAGGCTATTACTCCTCAACCCCATTCTACTATGGGTTCTAAAGCCCTCTACCGGCTTAAAAAAAATATAAATAAGCCAACAGACAGTGTTGAAATAAACTTTCCACAAAGGTGTCTTTAGGTGGTGCATTTCTCATACTAAAATTTCATGAGAACCACTTTTAGAGCAAGCCAACCGCCCCTCCCCTAATACAGTAAGTTAAAAAAAAAAATTTAGATTTTTTTAAGAGTAAGGCTATACGCACTCCGGAGTGCGCTTCGCGCGGAAATGGCTATACGCACTCCTCCGAGAGATCATGCCGCTCGGGCCACCCTTTTCGAACGGCGCGTGAATCACTGGGGCGCTCGTTAACACAGCCCCCCGCCTGCATTCACGCCGCTTCGCGGCGACAGTATCGGCTGCTAATTACAAAGCGTAACCAGTACACGCCGCTTCGCGGCGTCCAGCCGGCAATCCAAGCCCCGCTGTCCCCGATCGCACCTCCGGAAAGGGAGTCCGCTACCATTTAGTTCTGCGAAGTTTCTCGAAAATATTCGATTTTTTTTTTTTTTTTTACTGTTCATCGCAAAAAAGGAAATATCGCCAAATGCCTACAAAACAAAATGTTTGAGAAAAAAAAAAAAAAAAAAAAGTTGGTTTACCGCGGATCGAACCCGCGACCACTTGCGTATGAACGGACATCCTAACCCCTATGCCATGGCACCGCTTAGGAATCTCGTTGTGTCCACTCTTTTTTTACGAGAAAAGCGGAGTGCGTATAGCCATTTCCGTCCGAAGCGCACTCCGGGGTGCGTATAGCTTTACTCTTTTTTTAAACGCAAAAGTCAACTATGCATCGCTGTATGCTCAGTTTCGGCCCAAATGTAGCTCTAGAGGTCCCAACCGGATGCCAAAATTACAGAACCAACCGATATCTTGTTCAAAATACGTTTTCAGTAACTTGCGCCATTCAGCTCCATTTATTCAACGGCTCCAGCAGCCAGCATTTGTCTATCGAAACTTTCAAAAAATCACTCACAACTTTCGAGATAACGGTTGGTTCTGGAACGTTGGCCTCAGGTTTGGACCTCTAGGGCCACATTTGGACGCAAACTAAGCGCTCGACAATGCATAGTTTATTTTTGCAAAAAAAAAAAAAAAAAAAAGAAAAATATATATATATATATATATAATAAAAATTTCGAAGGGTGACACGCTCTATTCTAAAATATTAATGCGGGGAGGGGTCGGATACTCGGTCTCGACCCGGCTCTTTTGAGCTTTTGAGGCACCAGAGAAAGCCGTCGCTGGACGAATTGGAAATGAGTACTGAGTCAGCGCTCCGCATCGTGCCAAGTTTGAGCCGTCTGTTGATGCAATCGTCATGTCCAATCTGTGACCATTGTTGGTCTTCGCTGATGAGGACATCTCTATCAGCATTACGGCTTTGTCGCCGTAATGCTGAAGACGACAAGGTTTGCCGAGAAAACATTCTGATGGCCAAAGGAAGCAAATCGTGCTCACCGTAGTTGCAACCGGACAGGGTCACTGGCTTGCCCCAGCGTGGGCTTTTCTTGAACACACTGATCGTGAAGAAACCTTGAAACTTTGGTAAACTCGGAGAAATTGGAGCATTTTCACATCCTCAAGCATTTCCCAGCCCCACCCGAGACACTTTGAGAAAAGATCGATGGATGGACAGATGCTAACCTGGCGAACCTGGCAGAGCCGTGTAACCTGGCTAACGGCTCTGTGGACCTGGACTGTACTGTTATACCCTTGATAATGGGCGGTAGCTTGCGCCACCTTTCCTAGGTACCTTGTTTTGATAACCACTGCTCATGGAAATAGCGAGCGCTCGCAGATTTGGGACTACTTCCATAAATCCGTGCAAGCAACACTGCGCGCGTTGCACTCTGGGAACTAGTTGGCCAGGGCATAGGTCAGGGTAGAGCACTATATAGCTCCTTCGGAGCAGAGTAGCGCCAGTAGCGCAATCTAGAACGCCGCCTCTCGGCGACTAGCGGCGAACGCCCGGAGGTTCCAACTGCGGTCACAAATGCATGGAGAACGCGAGAAAATCGTTGTTTCTCCAGTATTGTGCGAATGTACGGAATCGCAATGATTTTTGACATAATAATGGAACATTTTAGAATAATTTGCGCTAAGTTTTGTGCCCCGCAAGGACCTGACTTTTTTTTAAAAAATTGCCTGAGCGGCATTATGCAGCAGACGACACGGCGACGTCACACCATTCACGTGACCCGCTCCGGCCAACCCGAAAAGCCCATCTCCGCTGCGAGGAAAAATCGTCTGCTTCAAACGCCATTAGGGAGTTTTAGCGAGTCGTTTTTCAAGCACACGGTTCCGAAATCACGAACGGTACAGCTGGTCCGTTCCGTGAAACCGTACGTCCAATTTGACATACTTTAGCGAATCGTGAAAGTGGCGCGACCGTGTAAACGATGATGATGATCTTGCTTAACGGTGGCGCCATCTTCTAGTAAACATGTGAAGCATTCTGCAACGTGCAAATCAGTGGCGAAGGTGGCGGACACCGTGGTGGCAGCTCGTGTTTCCGGCGTACAACTGATGTAAACAAGACAGCCGACGTAACATTTGCCGGTCGGAATTTCAAGAACTGCGAAGCTAGATAGAGTAAAAAATGTCTGAACGACCGTAAAGGTATGTGGTGTGTCTCCGTCATCTTGAACTTGAACGATCGTGAACGTTGTGTGCCATCGAACCAAATCATTTCGTCTGCTCGCGGTCACCACGGCAGCTAGTCTGCCCGCAGGTCGCTAAAATTTACTAGCATGCGCAGTTTACAGAATTCACAATCGCTTACGATTGTGAGCAGTTCTCGAAATGATTTGGTTCAACCTCTCAAATGAAGCAGACTTAACAGCCTCCCGCTGTCCCTAGGCCTAACGCTCGGCTGGGTCGGCAAAGGCGGTCGCCGAACCGACCGCCATCTTTTTTTTACCCGACTCGTGAACGGTGCTGGCTGCGTTCCGGTGACGACTCCAGCGGCCGGAATGGGAGAAACGAACGAGAAGAGCCTCCCGACTCCCCGAACGACTCGCGCGCGCATGCGCAGTGGCGTCGCGGATGCGTTCGAGGGCGAACCGTTCGTGTGGAAACGACCTGCTAAAACTCCCTATTGCCTTGGAAATTGCCTTCTCAAAATTTGCACACGCATCCGATATAGTTAAAACTTTGATAAAATGTTTAGTGCTTTACTAACTTCACGACAGACTAGTTTTGAAAAGTGTGAACTCGCCGTTCATTGTTTAATCAGCCGTGTTGTGTCGATCTCCATGTATTCTCCCATAGGGCGGGCCGCCTCCTGGAACCCTGAGTACCACGTGACTCGCGCCGAGCCGCTCTGTCGGCCATGTTGTCGGCAAAACACGGGGTTCAAAGGATTGCGTTACTCTGCTCCGTAGGAGCTATATAGTGCTCTAGGTCAGGGAGGAGAGCGGCATGATTTCGGTTTCGATCGACACATCGAGAAGGAATCATACAAAGAGCATGGATTATCAACAGCCGTTATCTCACGTTTCCTGGTCCCGACCGCATCGTTTTGGGTCTCTAAACTAAACTAAATGGCCAGACCTCGAAGCTTCAGCACAAGCGCGAACCATACGTAAAGCTTGTCTTATTGACACATGTTTATTTTTGCACTCGACCCTTCACCCGCGACTCCGACAAATCGTGAAAATTGAAGCGGACGCTTCTATTTTTACGGTCTGTCGGAGTCGTGAAAATTTTTACGATCACGACTGCTCTCCTCTTCAGATTGACGTCACAGGCCACCTGCGTCTGGCTCACCTCGCCAACGCCCTCGCGTACCGCCGTCGCCTCGGCTCGAAGGCCAAGGAGGTCCGGCTTTGGGTGGATTTGGGACATTCCTGCGTCGAAGGGTGCGTTTCGCCCGCCTCGGATCTGCTTTCTTTGTCGAGATTCACTTTCGTCGTGATGGCGTCCGATGCGGTTCCGTATTGTGAGCGGAGGCTGGGTTATGGAGAGTATCTTGAATGTTGCAGACGGGATAGGAGGAGGTTCCCGGAACCTCACAAGGATTTGTGTCGGGAGGATGCGGTGCTTTTTAGGCAGTTGCAGGTGATGTGTGTGTATACCCCGGTGTTGGGGAGACATGTGGACCCAGGGAATTTTGAGAGTGACTTGTGCAGGGTATGTAAGGACAGTCGGGCAACGCTGCAGCATATTGTGTGGGACTGTGAACAACGGGGGCATGAGGCATCGGGGACCCAGGACTGGCCGGAGGGCTTCAAGGATGGTGTGATGTGTGTGGACTTGGAGGGACAAAGGGGTTTCGTCCAGCGAACCCGGCGCTTGCTTCACCTGCAGACTGTGCGTAGGTGTGTTGGTGAAGGGGTGACGGAGGGGTAGGGGTTTTCGCAGGACCAATAAAGAGGTTTTCCACCACCACCTTGAGCAATTGACCGACAGCCAACAGAGCGTGTGAGTGGCTCTCCGGACCCACGTGATAAGCAGAGCAAGGCCGCCGTGGAGGAAGCGAGGGGGAGATTTGACGGAGGGAAGCTTCCCCCCGGGAAGAATTGACGGAGGGAAATTTCCCTCCGACGGCCGGAAGCGGATCGCGGCAGAGCGCGGCACGATTTGCCGGAGTCGTGGGTTTTGTAGTGTCCTGTTTGGACACCCCTTTAGCGTTTCGAGGTATGGTGGACGAGCCTCTGATGGGAATCTCGACGCTGCGAAGCGCAGGGATTTTGCTTGTGCACGAGTCAACACGCTGCAACAATCAATAAGTTCGCGTAAACCGAGCTCGCAACTTTACATTGGTGTTGCTGGTGAGCAAGTGTGTATTGTCCATTGACGAAATTATTTTTAGCAACAGTCGGGCACTTGCGTGAAGAATGTCGCACAGTTCGGCGGACAACACGTATTGAAACCAAAACTGAGTGGCCAACTAGTTCCCACAGTGCACTGCGTGGTATTTCGCCGCGATGGGGCGCGTCGGTTTTGGAAGAAGTCCGCCCTAAAGCCCCTCGATGTGTTTGCGCTCGTCTTGCAAGTAGCGTCAAATGCGCGAGTGCACGAGGCCCATGTCTCGAGCGGCCCTTGGAAGCAAATGGCGGCGCAGCACTGAAATGAGCGGGCCTTGGAAGCGAATGGCGGCGGAGCACCCGCTCATGGCACGTGTCTCGAGCGCTTGCACAACAATGGTTGGCGGTACTTGTAAAAAACGCTTTTATCAAGGGGCTTTAGTCCGCCCCCGTGTGAACTGGGAACGGGAAAGGCATTTGAAGTCCGACTGGGAATCGCTCCAACCAGTTACTTTCCTAACTGGTCCCAGTTCACTCCATTCCCAACTGGGAGTCAAACAGTTGACTCCCAACTGGGAATGGTTCAAACCAGTTGACCCCTCAGCTGGTCCCAGTTGGACTCCTATTGGTCCCAGTTGACTCCCAACTGGGAATGGTTCAAACCAGTTGACCCCTCAGCTGGTCCCAGTTGGACTCCTATTGGTCCCAGTTGGTACCAGTTAGTCCCAGTTGAAACCAGTTGAGGTGCCAACTGGTCCCAGTTAGAAATTTTCGCCTGGGCGCTAGCTTAAAAATTCCAAGCGCATTTAGCGGTTGCTAATGACTATACGATTTGTTATGTGCTTGCCTTCTTCGTGACTGAGTGTGCCGAGATAATTTCAGAACCACCGTTCAGACACAGATCTTGGGTGTCGGTAAAAGCTCATACAAAAAGGATTCGCGGAGAGTAGGGCAGGCTTAAGAGAAGCTGATCGAGATAAGCTCACCGGAGATAAGCTCACCGGAGATAAGCTCACCGGAGAAAAGCTCACCGCAAAACCGGCAGATGCGAAGAAAGGCTGACCATTTTTTTTTTAAACTTGGCGAATTTTGCGTCAAACGTGGCAATTTAACACAATTCGCATTCATCACTTCATTAAAAATAAATCAACTTTTTTTTTGCAATATTCTTGAAGTTCATTGTGCATATTTACTAATTCCTCAGATATTAGTAATCTCTCATTCTGTATATTAATGAAGCCGCAAGTATAAAATCAGAACATCGTACACCGGTAAAAGAAACAACAATTTATCGACAGCTGACAGTGCGCCGTCGGTAGCTCTGTCAGATAAAGAGGTTCAATTTTTGCAAGCTAATATGACTAGCGGTGTGTGAACCGTTTCAGCTCCAAATATTGTGTAGTGCCTAATGTATAAGTAGGTCTTCGCTAATGTAATCAGTGGCAGCTACGCTGTTCTCTTTCTGTTAATTTGACTAACAAACCTTTAGTTTCGAGAACAGCTTCGTCCGGTCGTGTTTGTTGTCTTCACTCCGTCGTCGTCGTTTGAGCTGTTTTCTTCATGTAAAACGCTTACCAACTCGCCCTACTCGCTACCTTACAGAAGACAACTTCTTATGTAGGTCACGAGTAACAACGGTGACAGTGTGCAGCTCTGAAGGTCATGGGTGGTTCGCTGCAAGAAGGGCACTATCACACAAAGGCAACGTGTGGAAACACCAGCACGAACGGCTAGAAAAGAAAATGTTCATGTCCGTGGAAGAAGAACCCTCGATATCCTACTGACCGTTTTATCCTGTTTTCAAAGGTTAACAAAAGCTTCAAAGATAATTTCAGGCACAGCGTTGTTGCGTGCGCACTTTCGAATTTTGGGCATTTACAGTTTTGAGTTTTAGGCTTTAGGCAGACGTACATTATTAAGTTATCAAGCTTTTTCCTGTTCTTCAAGTTTATAAAGTTTTCAGTTAGGCTTTAGTTGCCAAGAAAGTAAGCCACAAAAAACACTCGCCCGCAATTATTAATTTGGGAGCAGGA